CGAGTACTTGCCCACATAGTTTTAAATTCTCGTTTTATAATTCTATTTAAATATCCGTATAAATATGGATTTATAACTCCGGTGGCGTAGTAAAGCCCTGACACTATGGACTGAAGTAATTCAGATGCGTTTTGTCCTGAATGAAAAGACCAGAGATTCACTACCATGTATGGCGTCCAGGAAATAAACAGTGCTCCGACAATGGCAGCCATTGTCAAAGCAGTCTTGATGTCCGCGCGTAGAGCAGAATGGGGTTTGCGCATGCAATATTGTCCCGATATGACCGCCGCTGACACTTGTCCTGTCAGCTCGGGCTCAAGTACTGCAGTCATTTCTCTTTGGCGCAGCGCTTTGACTTCGCGCGCAATCTGTCTGGAATGACGCAAGGCAACACGCAGTATGCTGATGTAAATAAAAATGATCGAAACCAGCGGAAGGAAGAACATCGTGGCTAGTTTAAAGTACGTAAAACTGACGGAAATGTGATAGTCGGACTCGCACAACCAGAGACCAGGGATGTTCTGGTAACGACTCCAACCTATGAGCGGGTAACAAGCTGAAAACAAGGCGTAGAACCAGATAGCAAGGATACTTAAGACAGTCTTATTTTGAGTCACCCAGCCTTTGTATTTGAGCGGCATAAGAATGGCTAGATATCTGTCTATGCTGACTGACAACAGCGTCAATACTGATACGGTGCTTGTGGCGTGTTGAAAGAACCCAATAATGTTGCATCCAGTCCCACCCACAACACGGAAATCATGAATTATCGATACAATGCTGAAAGGCAACAGAAAAATTGCGACCACAATGTCATTTATGGCCAAATTGACCAAGAAAAGGCACGAAGGGCAGTGAAGTCGCCTCACGCGATAAATAATATAACAGATCGTGGTATTGCCAACTACTGTAAACACAATCATAAACACAATAACAACAACCAGCGCGGTAACCATGGTGACAGTGCTCCTTATGACAATGTCAGGTTGTATATTCCTTCATCAGTAATCCATTAGCGAAAATTTCAGCAAAGCTTTATTTTCTGTTGAGCTTGTTGGAGACCTGCTGAAATACAAAGAAGTGTCAACTAAACCAACGCAATAATTATCACCATACAGATAGTGAAATAGAATGATGAGCCATGTTTACTTTGCTTATGATAGAGTTTGGAAATTTTTAAGTTTTTATTAAGTCGAGCCGTAGGCGAGGCTGTACGTAAATTAATAGGAAATTAAGGTAATTAGTTAAGTCCTTAACTAAGAGGTTTCTGTATTACGGGAGTGTCTGTTAGGAGGGCTTTGACTGTATAATTAAAAATGTACGAGTGGAATCGAATAAAGAGCTACTATAGTACTGTAAGTGGCAAATGGATTGTATGCACTTTCTCTAGCGGCTCTGATAAATTTTTTCTTTGATCAGGGACACAAACTGTGAGGAAATCGATAAATGTGGAGAACTGGCTTTAGTGTCCTTATATTATTTCGCAGAGTAATTTATCTAAGGAGTTTTTACCACTCTTGAGGTAAATTACTTTTTGAAATAGTTTACGCTAAAACTTCGCCAGAGAGCACTAAAATTTCGCCAGGTTTACCAAAATTTTAAAAAAATTGTAAACTAAATATACCCAGCAAAGGAGATATGTGTAGGTCTGACCATAGCGAGAAATCAGCCTGTTCAGTCGTTAGTTAAACTGTTACTAACTCCGCGAGAAAATTTTAACAAAATTTCTCCAATTCCAAGAGACAATTTGATTATTAGAAAGGAGAGTTATGTAGATAAATTAAAGTAAATACACACTCCGTAAGTTGTGTTGCAGAATCAGTGGTGAATTTTGCTGACACATCTATTATCTATTCCGTTTGTCGAATTGAAAGGAAAAGTATAAAATAGCATTAAGCACCTCGAGAAAGCCGCGAAAAAAAAAGCTACAAATTCGAGTTACCTGCAAACACACTCTTGCCCAAATGTCGTCTTTTGCAGTCGAATGTATCGTAAAACTACCGCCAGAAATTGTTTCAAGATTTAATACCGTTTTCATTCCGCGAAAATCGTGCTGCGAGAGATCATAAGCCCTACTGAAAATTCCTTCTTGGAGCTAAACGATTTGTAAAGCACTCGGTGGAACATTAGAATGCGGACGTGGGAATCAAGCAGCCATAAACAGCTTTCAATAGCTTTTATCCCGCATCTACTTCCCAATAAATAAGGTTAAGCTTGTTTCATTTGCGCAACCTCGTTTCCAGGGTACCTCATCTTCCCAGGTTGTCGTTTGCGTCACTTCCACAATAAATTGGACTTTTAAGGTTTGATGTTATCAGCGATTCAAGGAAAGTAGTAATACGGTATAAACGAGAATATGGCTGCATAATCTTGCTAAATAAGCCTTTTTCCCAATAGGACCATTACAAAACTGACCACCAAAGAAAATCACATTGTATTTATTCGATTCTAGCTTTCGATAACTTCCAGCTGTTCTTTACGATTGCTCAATTCAAGAGCGCGATTGTTGCAGTTTTAATATCTTAATCAGTGCGATGGATCTTTGTAAAACCACGCTCATCCGGTCATGTGCAAATGAGAGCTTGTCACATACGGTGTAAAGTTTCTAGAAGGAAAATTTTTATTAGTTTAATTAGCCGACATACGTCAGACGGGTTCTAAATTTTTGCTCCTCGCTGGAACTTTTGGTTTTGTATAGGTCACGGCCGTAGCCCGGCTAAAATTCTCACGAGGTAGTATATATAAAAAAAGCCCGCTTCTTTTATTTTGAATTTTTTTTAATGGGCAGCCTCTTACGGGAACTTGAAATAAGTAACTAAATAAATTCAAAATTATTACTAGCTGCGGTCCTGGGTGAAAGGACATTTACACTTGTTAACTTCCCTTTTATGCCTTTAACTGACTGTAAGTTATCTTGCTGGCACAATGCTTGTGAAAAAAACCTCCGAAACATTTTCAGCTAAGATTTTTTTCATAAGCACGATTTCTTGTGAATGTAATGGAGTTGGTAGCTTGGAAGAAATTCGGTGAAACTCTACAAGCACAATTTTGAACTTCAATTCGCTTAGCCATAATTCGCAAGTTACCGGGAGACAGTGTGCTTAATTATTTAATTTATAATACCCAGGAGAAATTTACTTTAACTGGGATCCTTTTTTATGTAGCTGTAAACATTTGAGTAAAGATGTGTGTTGTTTCCGCTGAAGTGAGACCAGACTACTTAACAAAGACGGCGTGTAGGCTACTAGTGTGATGATAGATCAAAGTTCATATATTAAAACAAATACTCTTATTTGCTTTTCATTGCCCATGTTATAAAAGTGACTTTCAGTTTACTTTCATTATATAAAAATGTCAACGTCACTTGAGCGGCGATTCAAAGTGTCTTTACACAATATTCGGCTGAAATCGATTCCGATTCTGTAAGTGTACTTCAAGGGCACGGGTTTCCGTTTGTGCAAGCCCGTAACATGTTCGACAGATTGCTCTGAAGACCTATGGCACACACTTTTGTGAAAAAGAAGGAATGAAAAGCGAACGCTCGAGAGACATTAAAAAGTAAATATTAAATATTCACAAACTTCAAGTTGTTCTGGGTGGTAGCTAATTAATTAAGCCTCTTAGTAAACAAAGCTAGGCGAAAAATGAAACAAATGATAGAGGATTGTTTTTCAACCTCAAATCCGCGGGCAGAACTTCGTTTCTTAAAACGCGTTTCGATTTCTCGAACTTTACTAACACCTCAAATATGAAGAGTAAATATAATAAAATACAGTTTACCATATCTTAAGAAACAGCAGGTGGCTTAAAATACGGACATTTGTGATACTGCCTTCCCGCTTTCAAGCATGAAAATATTGCTCGAGGTGTTCTAGATGTTTCGTTTTCATCTGTATACATAGTTTTCCTGAACATCGCTTTCCATGCACTCGCAAACGGTTGGCATTAACACGGATAGGAATTGCACACAAAACACAGTTGAGTAAGAATTAGAGCTTTACAAAGTTGACAGAATTCGCATGTACGTGCTGAATGAATTGATAAAAATTAATTGCTCTCGCACTCGTACAACATACGCCGTAGGAGTTCTACAATTGAAATTGCTTTGTCCCTCGAAGGCGCCTTACCTTATGTGCATGGGAAACATCATTTAATGCGAAGTGAAAATAACGCGCAGCAAAACGCATATAGAGCATGTAGACATAACTTCAATTGGTCACATGCCTTTCCTATAAACGTTTTTTCTTTTGCTTAAAATGGATAATACAGTCCAAGGAATATAACATGGATTTTTCAAAGGTAAATAGCTTACTTGACTTAACTTAACATAATCCCGCAAAAAACATTAACAAAGAAAAGATTCTATAATTCTCACCTATAATTTAGTCTTTTTCCGTACTAGAACTCAGTTTAAAAATCCAACTTCCTTCCCCCGTCAAGAAACCTGATAAATTTTCCAGGATTCATAGCTTGAAACAGTCACTATTTATTCGGCGAGGCTGGCAAAACGTTTCATTTCACCTGGTGCGTCAATTAGCGACTCTCACCCAAGCTTGCTTTATAACACAGCCAATCAGTGCGTCAATAGGACCACATCGCGTAAGCTGATCTTTCTTTTGTCGTATATTTCCGGTAAGATACGGTGCCACGGATTATAAGCTATATTAGTCACCTGCGGTTGGTTCTTTTGAAGGGAAATACCAGTTTAAGTGCGTTGTGGCAATGGAATAAAATCACCTTTTTGACGCACTGTTTCGCTGAAACAAACATAGGTCCGCAAAGCATACACATAAGAGCCCGTTGTTCTGTACAAAATCATCTAGCGATGACAACAACTCACGTTTGATGAGTGCTAAAAATAGTTCATTCAGTGTATAAATAAACTTCAGGTTTTAGGATATGTGTTTATCCGTTTAATACTGAATTTATCAGACTTCTGTATAGGCTTATTAACCAAGAGATTCTCTCTTTCAAGGGATAATAATTATGTTCTCCATGAATTAAACAGGAATTTGAATTTCAGGGAGTAAATCCTTAGTGTATTAACTTCTTCCGTTACGATAATCACGGGCCACTGAGAACAAAGGAAAAGAGCTAGCTTGGTAGTTAAATCTGCAAGACTTTGTCATTTCGCCTCGAAATATTACATAATTATTCTTATTAATCAGAAAACATTTGTTCCAATGTTTGAGCTTAAGCTTTTCCCTTTTGTATAGAGATAGGGAGATGAGCTCAATCACGTCTACAGCAAATGTCGTTCTGACGATTCGGTTAGTTCCGCTTGCGTAATGAACTACTGGACGAGGTCTTTTCGTGGCCGTTGCTGTATCGCGCGTCTCGAAACCCCTTGCAACGAAACCGCCAGCTACGCACAGGTGACTCGCTTCTTAATACACTGACTGAAAATGTGTCATTTGTTCCACACACTCGGTAAGTAATACCCGTTACAGTAGATAACTTTTTCACACTTAAGAGACTCGCCAAAAGTTTTCAGGTTTGGAATTTCAAGCGAGCCGACGATCAATTTGTTCTCTTTAAGAAAGAGTAACAAATGCCACCCACTGAATAATCAAACTTGATTTTGCTGCTGCCATGTTTTACTTTGCTGTTTGATTTTGTTGCTATACAAGTTTGAATGAGGTGTATGTATTTTGTAATGTACTGTAGCTTAGCTAAATTAATTTCTTATGCTGCCATTTACTTGACCATGGCGGTGTCCAACCATAAAGCTCTTGCCACTTTGGCCACCGCTCACATATAAATTTTTTTCCTTACAGCTTTATATTTCTTAACTTTTTTACTATTTCTTTTACATTACTATACATTGAATCTGTATAATGAAAATAAGAAAATTGAATCGAATTGAATTGACCAGTCCATTGAACGGTTATGGCGACAGTACTAGTAAATTTAGGTTTATTTCATGCCATACTGTTAACATCGCACAAACTGGGTCTAATTTTGAAGTTTCTGGATATACTCTGACTGATCTACAGTAAAATCATTCTTTCCTATGGTTATATTTATTTAAGTGAGACAATTTGTTTTCTTTGGAGTAAGTTGACCAAATCCCAATATGTGACCATTCCATTTAAGGTTACTGAGCAGTTATTTCTTCATGTGTTTAAGTGTTTATCATGCTGAGTAGAACATGAACTCGACTTGAGTCAACAGTTACCAAATCAACCTATATTAGCTGCAGTAGCTACGTACTCGCGGCCGAGATAAAAACGACTGCCTTGATTTTAAGTTAACAATACGTTTGGACGGATTTGAGTGATTCCTTAACTAAAGCAGAGTTTTCGCCAAGGTTGTGAAGTATAGAGTCTTGGGATAAAATCGGGCAGCCATTTTCGTTTCTTGTATATAGCGAGCGCCAAAAGTNACCAACCTGAAATATACACCAAAGTATAATTGTGACCTTCCCGGGGATTAAAACAATTTAGATAGTATTGCTCGTGCAATGTTAATGAAAAAAGACGGTCTTTACACTAGTCTAAATGAGTTGAATAACAAGTGGTTAGCGAAGGTTTGATATAAACAGCGATGACTTATGTTACTCCCATGAGCTTAAAGCTGAATCAGAATTATAATATTGTGTATGACTTACTTTTCACTAGTCCACACCCAAGGGATTACGTTTTGCAGCAGTGATCCACAAATGACAAATTGTGAATTTCCAGCGCATTGCGAGAACACGAATAGCGGTTTTTTGTGTGTATGTAGCGATGGCTTCGTTGGTAATCCACCCTTGTGTGAAGGTAAGTGTTGCTAGCTTGGATATACATGTTGTCAAAAGGAATACTAGAAAAAAGTATTTTGGGCACCATGTTGATTTTATGTCGTCATCGATATTTAAATTGTCTTGTATATACCTTGTGACTCTCTTGTTTAACTCAAGTTATTGTGTTTTTTTTCTGATTTTCTTTTTTTTGCAAGTTTCAATTTTTAGTTTCCTAGTTATTGGTGCGCTTCTCCTTATTTCAGACAATTGCTTGGGTTCCTTTCTTGCTTTTCAACAAAATTAATTTGTATTAAAGTTAATGACCAGTAGTTATCGTCCTATACACCCGTATAAACCTGAGAAATCTTGTTGCTCCAAAAATATCAACTTTAATGTTTGAATCCATTCTTTATATAAAGACGTAGACGAGTGTGAGAACCTTTCCCGTTGTGCTGAGAATGCCACCTGTACGAATTTGGATGGATCTTATGACTGCAACTGCTCAGCAGAGGAATCCCATCACTGCTTTGGTATGTTTAGACTAATTGGAATAAACAGTGACTAACAGCATGCGCCGGCATATTGAAATATCTGCCGACGTGGTCTTAGCAGGTAACCTTAGTAAATAGTTGTAGATCAAGAAAACGTCACGTGGGGCAGTGGTGCTTCGATGAAAAGTACATAAGGATGAAGATAAGTAAATGCTAAAAATCCTTGTAGTGCCGAAAACTATATAATTAACCAATACATTACAAGCTAGTGTAACTGCTTGATACTGATACCAATTATTTCTTCTCGTACTAATGCTCAGCTGAGATAATTAATGCATTACGTCTCCTAACATATTTTGATTATTTAAGATCTAACTGTTGAGGAGAAGAAATAGGGATATCATTTCAATGCGCCGCAAAATTGTTAGATTTAAGACGAGTTCATATCTATGGCTCAAAGAAAAAGATAATTATACGATTTTTCTCTTTTTCATTCAGGGAATACATTGTGTGACATTCCACGAGTAAGAATAACTAATGTTGGACGGACCGTGGATCAACCCGCTGTGGTTCAGTTGAGTTCATATTACACATTTGAAACAAACATTGAAGTGAGGTGCGCTCAGATATGGGCACAAAACGCATTTTGGATACTGGCGGATCCTTTGCTAAACGATCCTGAGGCTATTTTGAATGGAACTATAGTCTCAGCGAACACAAACGAATGGACTCTCTCCGACCATCATTTACCATTCGCCCATGATCTACACGCTTTATACTTCATTTTTACGATAGCCCAAGGAGACAGTAATAAAACAGAGGAGGTATATGATAAGGGTTATATTAAAATAGAACCCTTACCACTGGTTGCAATAATTTCAGGTGAAACTGAAATAACCAGAGGAAATAAGCAGAATGTCATCCTAAATGGATCCAAGTCTTATGATCCTCATGTTGGCCGTGGAGCCCTGGAGACACTGACATTTTATTGGCTTTGCAAGAAATCGAATGAGCAATTCCCAACGGAAAATCTGCTTGAGATCCAGGTGGTGTCTGTTCCTTTGCATGCCTCTGGCTCAGATGGAGGCTGCTTTGGTACGGGTATTGGGAGACTGGAATCGACGGAGCCTGTTGTAGTGTTGAACGCCTCAGTAATGGAGAACACAAACGCCTCATACATCTTTCAACTTATTGTAACTAAAGACGCCAGAACGTCGAGTGACATAAAAACTGTTCACGTAGTCGAAGGAAGCCCTCCTGAAGTTTCACTAAAGTGAGTATATATTGATTGAAATGGACAAATAATGCACATGACATTCAAAAACTGGCCGAATATTTGTTGTTTAATAAATCCGATAGAGGCATCTACAAAATAAGAAGTCATTTATCTGCTCAGATAAGTCACACACTCACAAAAAAACAAACAAACAAATAAACAAAAACAGAAACAGAAAACTGTGGAATGTTGGAGCAATGTTTCTCATTATTGACAATAATCGTGTTAATTAATATTGCTGTAGTCTCCACCATGGAGAAAATGAATATCCCTGATTGGATAAATGCTTAGTAGTAGGACCACGTAGAAATACATTAGTTATTTTTCTTATGGGCTATTTTTTCAGGTAATAGAAGACGAAACGTATTTTTTAAAGCTTATTAGCGCTTGAAGGACATACAGCAATAGGTGGCTACTTTAATTTGGTCTTCCTCTTCCAGACGTTCCATTTGGAGATTGTGGTAGCCTATAGACGCGCATGATATATTTTATCCCTGTAATCGTTTCTATATTTTTTTCTCCAATAGCTTTGTTTTAAATGATCGTTTAAACGTTATTCCATCCGCGCCGCTGACCATCTCAGCCGATTATACGGGCTACTCGTGTGATGATAAAGTGGAGTACCGATGGATCCTTTACGAAGAAGACAAGGACGCAGGGTGGATAGAAATTTTAAACAATCCAGAATACTCTAAAATCCTCGCTATCGATCCAAAGACTCTAAAGGACAATACAAAATATCGATTGGAATTGACCGTGCTATTTGCCAGTGAAACCCCGTCTACAAGTGTGCAGGTTTTTAAGACTACAGTCCTTCCGCGTGATGGCTCGTGCACTATAACACCTGACACTGGCGAAGCTGTTTATACTTCATTTGAGTTGTTTTGTTTCGGTTGGTCCGCTCTCAATGAAACTTTCATCTATGAAGTGGAGATAATTGGAGATGGTGATATACATTATACCTTGTATTATGGCCGGGCTAATAAACGGACATTAGTTTTACCGCAAGGAAATGCATCAAATGAATATTTATCCCACGTCAAAGTATTTGTTTCAAGGAGCAATGGTGCTACTTCTGAGCTGGATCTTGCTGTAACGGTATGAATTGTGAATTGAAGTAAAGTTTCGCGTGGGTCAGTGATATATTGACAAATTAAAACATTTGGATGCCATACTGAACTAATTATGATGCTTTGTTAATTACTGTAGGTGACGCCACCCGAGCCTAGAGCGGAACAAGATCTTTTCAAACAACTGCAAAAGTCTCCAAGCCTGTTTGAGGATCATCTTAACAGAGTGGATACGCACAGGGCCTGGCAGCTAATGACAGCCATGTTGTTGACAATAGAGACACAAGTATTGGTGAACCGCAACTTTTCCAACACAACAGTATCGACGAAACAAAAGAGTGATGTAATTATTAACCTTTAAAGTGTCCTATCTAAATTTAAAGAGAATGTGGGGTTACCGTATTGCTTAATAATACTTGTGGAAAACTAAACAGAGAACTTCATTGCAGGGATAACAGTTTGGCTATTTCAATATTGTGAAAACTTTGCGTTAATTTCGTATTAATTTTGCCGGACGGGATCATCAGTTAAACGTGGTTGCTTTTTACAGTTCTATTTGTTTTTAGAAAAATTAATATATGTGTTTTTCTTAAAGTAAGAGAATAAGTCAAATATATAAAGAGATGATTACTGTGACGTTTTTGCAGCTCAGAGACATTGCCCTAAAGAGGTTTCAACTTGCAGAGCTCGATGATCTTCCAAGTGTGGTTTTTATCTCAGCATTTTTAGCGACAGCTGGAAAGAATGTCACCAAGTTATCCCTCCACAGTAAGGTAACATCTCATGGAAAATTATAAATCCCTGATTTTACTACCTTTCAGACGAAAACAAAAGTCTGACAAAAATCTTGCGGATTGTCTCGACCAAGAAATCACAGTATAAACATATTTTCTTCGGCAGGACCTTCTCCCGATAATATTACGCAACATAACTGATACACTGCATTCCAACGCTAGGAATATGAAAGCCAAAGACGACAAGTTTATTTTCCAAGGAGTATATAACTTGCTCTATGGAACTGTTGAGTTGGGTATGGTGTCTGCAGAGGCGGCGGCAGTAATTGGGGACACCAGAATTCTTTCTGCTGACCAAGTGAAGGTACACTTTTGAAAATTAGTTGCAGAGAAAAAGTATTACTACCGCTCTCTCTGAGAACTGAGTTTAATTTGATTTCCATTTTTCCAGGCAAAAGATATTGTCTTGGAATCGATGAGCATTGTCAGAATGCTACTCCGCACTTTGGCGATAAGATCAGCAGTATCCCAATCTCCTAAAAAGTTCCATGTACCAGGAATGGATGTCATGCTGGGTCGCGAAACATCCTGCGGACTTGAAGAAAAACGTTTGAACTTTTCAGAGGGTCAGAGCTTTCAACTTCCGCAAAATATGAGACAGGCATTTCCTAATGAACAGGTCGAAGAGACTGAATATCGAGTAAGTGCGGTCTATTTAGTGTAATATTGTTTTTTATTATATAGACGAGTGTTTTACCGGATAATACACCACTCGTAAAATTCATACGAGACTCGGGTGGCGTATATTCCATATCCTCACTAGTGAAGATATCGATTACTTCACTGATATCATGTTTGACCATTAAACTGCACTTAATTTTTTTGGTGTATGATCGAAACATCTTCGGATCTTCCTCAAAAGTCTTCGGCAGTCTTCGTTTATCTTCGGCAACCTTCGTGTTCAACTTTATATATATAGATATCAAGTTGAACACGAGAAGACGTATTCCATATCTACGCGCGCATATATATTATCCTCTATATATTAAACACCATTACGGCCGTAAAGCACTATATATGTATATATGTGTCTGTATTCGGACAAACAGCCTTAGAATTTGACTTGCCACTGATAATCTTGATACAATTGTGTCCTAGAGCTAGCTTCGATAAGGCTTATCGTAGCTCAAATAAAGGGAAATGACTCTCAGGGTGAATGCCTTTTTAGGCCAGAAAGATTAAATTCACGGTCTTTTCATTGAATCATGAATTGTGCAGTTTAATTAAGAGTGCTTTCAACATGAAATTCGAGTCTAAATCAATACAAACGTACGCATATCAAAACCCCGACGGAGAGCTGATCTATGGCTTTCTAATGACCTGAATCGTCCTAAATGTACTGAACAAAAGCTTTCTACATCGGGAATCGGTTAAACTTCAAGCAAAGTAAGCCTTAATTATGAGTAAGTGACCTATAAATAAGAATAAATATATAAATATATGAAACATGCCGCAATACGTTCTCTACATTTCATACAGGTAAGATTTACAAGCTGCTGCCATTAGGGAAGCAAAGAAACAGAAACAGGAACAAAAAATCACAGGTTACACGAACGAAGGGGTTCAAATCTACGGGAATGTTTTTGGCAAATCAGTAAGATACTGTACATAAAAAAAAAAGCCTTGCCATGCTTGTAAAGGCCGTTGAAGTCAGTGGAAATGAATTGAACGAGCCAAATTCAGCTAAATTAGAGGTTAAATTGATCATTTGACTTGTCGCGCTAATTTAGACACGCTTGCCCTCTGCGATTTCACCAAAATGACCCCATTATGTCTTAACTGTCAATCATTGCGACAAAAGTACGAAAAGCAGCCAAACCGTGCATTAATTCTCATAGTTCAAGGTTGGTCTGGTCTGACATAAGCAGAGTGGCTGGTGTCATTTGTTTTGAGTATGAAACTCCCCAATTTACGTACTCTAAATGTGGATCAATTTATTCATCTGGAGTCGTATTGGGGAAGACGGGCCTCAGTCAAAAAACTGAGTTGACAAGGACAGTTACTTTATTACCATAACAACACTACCTAACAGTCAATCTGCACGTAAATTTGATTCATTTCCATGAAATGATCTGCCTTATCCGAAGCTTTACATTAATAGTAACATTAAATTTTTATTTCTTGTTTGATTTCCTAAGCTATTTCTTATTAATTTATTATTAAACTATGTGTGAATTCATTCTACAGATGATTCGCACGACGTTTAATCCATATCGCTGGGACGTGAGCTACCAACAAATAAAGTCGGAAATACTGAGTCTTGAATTCTCAGACAGTAAAGGAACAGTATTACCCGTTGGAGGAAATAATATAGATATCGACATCAAAATACCTCTTAATTCTGAAATTAACTCTTCAAAGAACTACTTCTTTATCAGACCACTAATGATGCGATACCACACTTTGGAGCTCACGGATGTTTCTGATTCTATGATCATTGAGGTGAAACCAACAAACCTTAGTGTCACAATGGTAGTATACGTTAAATATGGAGAACGCCCAACGGTAAACAGTTACAGTTATACTGCCATTGTACCTGATTATTCGTCTTGTAACTGGGTCAACGAAAGTGGTCGGTTTGCAGCAAAGTGCTCAAGGAATCCATTTAAGATCATGTCTACTGCAAACTTCAAACAGGCAGGTACGTATTACGTCGGAGTGTTGTACGCCGAAAGTGGTGACTTGAATCGTACTCGAGTTAGACGCTCGTGTTTTGGAAGAAGACGAAAGAAAAGAGACTGTGTTGAACCTAAGCCACCTCCATTGAAAGGAATTGAGTACAACAGAACATTAACATACAATTCTAGCACTGACCAGAACTATAGCGTCAGTGTCCGCAAGTACAGCTGCTACTATTTCTCATTGACGCAGGACAAGTGGACTAAAGATGGGTGTAAGGTTGGTTGGAAAGAATATTCTTGACTAAAAATGGCTTAGAATTATATCAAACACAAATTTCATTCGCTGCCTACCTTACCTACTGACAAACTTTATGGACTGACCGTGTTACCAACTGGCAGGCTGCAACAACACTTTCACTTTGACACCCATATAAGATGAACCACGATTACAGGCGTATGCCTCGGTTCACACTAGTAACCGATATTTCACCTCATAGTTGAATATTCTATATGTGATGTGGAACGAACTGCATGCAAACGTTTTTACTTTTATTTAGGTTGGAGATGACACGAACGACCAAATACTCCAGTGTCGATGCAATCATCTCACAGCTTTTGCTGGCGGCTTTGTCATTGCTCCAAATCCGATAGACTTCGACAAAGTGTTCATAGAATTTACCAGACTTGAAGAAACAGGAAATTATGTGGTTCTTGCAACAGTCTGTACTATTTTTGGTGTCTATATCTTGGTGGTAATCTGGGCAAGAAAGGCTGATATGTTTGACGAAAGAAAGGTAGATATTATAGATACATCCGAGATACAATCGGCATTGGCCAATTTTATCTAAATCAAAAGCTTCCATATTTATTTTGGGAGATACGATCATATTTATTTCCTTTCGATGTTTTTTTATCCATGGAAGGAGTTCTGATGCTAATTTTAGACGAAAGAAGTGAACAAAAAATTTAGATAAAAGTACCGAAGCGTAACTCTGAAGACCACCTGCCTTAACCGCATTACAAAATGCGCAAAAAAGACTGATTTGGACAAGCGCGTATTCTTAAGTCTTTTAAGCAGGAGTCTTTTGAGGAGGCGGCGTGGCCGAGTGGTTTACAGCGCTGGATTTGAATTCTGGAGGTCCCTGGTTCAAATCATCCGCCCTACCGCTATCTGAATTTGTTCTCGGTAGCCCTCGAGTTCAACTCCTCGACCGCTTTGTGTAAATAGCCAACTGGTCAGCCTCCAACCAGTTGGGATTCTTAATAGTTTATGTTATATTTGAAATATTTGTTTATTTATTTACAGTGTCTCCGATTAGCACATTTAATTAATAGTACTAAATACATTTGACACTTAACTAAAGTTATTATTATTAATATTATTATTATTATTTATGTTTTAATCGTATCTTTAACAAAATTCTCGATTGTGATTGGTTCTCCGCGCGCAAATTTGACCTTTTCGTAATTGGCTACCTGTAATTGGTTACTTACGTGATTCCCACGTCAATTACGCGAACTTTAATGGCTTCCTTCGCACTGTTTCCTACAGTTTTCAAAACATACGAAAAGCGTTACAGACGTTTCTGCTCAAAAGAAGTTGCTAAAAGACATTTTTATTTCTGAAATTTGTTATAGATACGATTAATTAGTAGTTGGACCTCGTGTCATACAGTTCAGGGAGTAATCGTGCTCGTAATTTCAAATCGGCCTCGCGCTTCGCGCTTGTCTGATTTTAAAATTACTCGCGCGATTACTCCCTGAATTGTACTCCATTCGGTCCAATTACTATTAGTTATTATTAAGCAAGAGACGTTACATACGATCATTAACTTATTACTGCGTGGGCGCATGATGCTCATTCTCACCTTGAAAGTCGCTAGTCCTAAATAGGCGCCGATTAAAAGGAATCGTTAAAGATTACATCTCTGCAATGGCAAATTCCCTCTTCAGGAAATCATGGCAGTTGTATTCTCGTCTTGGACTGGATATTTGTTTTGATGAATACAACTACCATGATTCCCTGCGGGCGCGTCTCATAGAGGTAATTGGCCATTTATTCGATCTATTCCTTAATATTGTATACACGTAAACTTCTGACTCATTTCAGGTGAAACTAACATGAACTTTGAAAAATGATGTATAAAAATATCAGTTTCTATCAAGCACAGCTTAGCTGAGTTATAACGAGTAAAATTGTTCTTTTCTTGGTAGCGGGGCCCGACGGTACACGTTACACCGACTGTCAGTGGCATACACACTTATTATTTGACTGTAACTACAGGCGTTTGGCGTAATGCTGGGTCGACGGCTAACGTTTTCATTAAAATCTACGGCACTGAAGATACTCTAGAGGCCGTTAATTTAACTAAAAGCTCTCCACCAGGAAGGAAGATGTTTGGAAGAGGAAGCGTCAATAGGTTTGTTTTCCATCTAGAGAAAACGCTCGGAAATGTAATTAAAATAGAAATGTGGCATGACAATTCTGGGAAGAATTCATCGTGGTTTCTGGATGAAGTTTGCATTGTTGATGAAAGTACAGGCGAGAAGTGGTATTTTTTCCACAACAATTGGCTTGCACTTCACAAAGGTGATGGATCGACCAAGGTTACCCTAATGTTCAATGATCCAAATCATCACGGTCCTGGATTAAAAAAAATGTTTTACTCTGTCTCTTCAGTGGACCTCGCGGATTATCATCTCTGGGCCTCTGTCATCACTAGACCACCGCGTAACCCATTTACACGTGTACAACGAGCTTCGTGTTGCCTTTCTTTTTTATATTTGGCGATGGCATGTAACGCAATGTTTTATCAAGTGACTGGAGTTTCCGATGAGGTGATTCAGATTGGACCGTTGAAAATATCACTCAGGCAATTCATTATTGGAATTGAGAGTTCGTTGATTGTTGCCCCAGCAAGTGTGTTGATAACTGTGTTATTCCGTTACAGAAAGGCTAAAACGTTCGAGAGTGGAGGGAACAAAGAAGAAACAGCCACTAAAAGTAATGTTTCAAAGAAATCCTGGGCTGACAGACAATGTTTGCTGCCCCATCCTTTGTTGTATCTCGGCTGGTTTCTTTGTATTGCGGCGATAGTGTCTTCTGCCACTATAACAGTATTTTACAGTCTGCAATGGGGGAAGGAAATTGCAGATCAATGGCTGGCTTCTGTGGTTGTCTCTTGTATCAAGGATGTTTTCATCTGGCAACCGTGCAAAGTTTTATTCTTTACTTTTCTGTTGATTATCATCTCCAGGAGGCCGAAATCTCCCGACGAGGCGAGTAATAGCGTTGGATCATCGTTTACAGAGGAGATGAAGGAGCTGCGTGCGTATCAATTACAAAGGGCAACGTTTTTTCGTTTTGCAAGACAGTTTGTTGCCTTCATGGTCTTCTATGTGTTGCTGATGACAGTTACTTATGGGGATAAAGATTATCACAGATATCTGATGAATAAAGGCACCCGAGATAGCTTTACTTCCTTCGACAAGGTTTGTGTTGATCAAAATCATCATTGACAGCATTTAGTGTTATGGAAAAGAGAGCTGGATGTGATAATGGCTGCCGTGATCAATCATCAGTTGATGTCCATCGTAGGGTTTGTTTCTCTTCAGAATAGGATATTTGGTACATCTCATAGCCTGTAGAGGGAAAACCGTCAATATGTCAATAAACTCTGTAAGGATATTGAAGTATTTTTTTTCAAAAACAGTTTATCATGTCTGAACTATTCCAAACATTCTCATTGCTCGGTTGCTCGCATTCCTTTTATTTGTTTGGAAATCTTATTTTCTGAAGACAGTCAAGAATGATAAAGACGGATTTTATCCCCACATAAACAGTAATGCATCAATTTAGATACCGAAAACATTAATTTTACAAACTTCGTCAACTAAAAAACCTCGATAATCTTTAAATACTGTCCTTCAGCGGCATTGTCCAAAAACAACGATAACAATAATTCAACAATAAACAAACGAACAAAAAACGATACAAAAGTTCAAATGAGGCTGAAACTACTTTTAATTACTACTTGCAATTTCAACAGTAGTTTTAGGCCTCATTCGAAATTTTGATTTGTTGAAGGTTGAAAGCTTACTTTTCCTCGTTACTTTTTACCCCCTTGTATCTCCTTTAGGTAAACACCGGCGAAAAACTATGGATTTACATGTTGCACAAGTTCATCCACGAATCATATGCCGGTGAATGGTACAATGGCCAACAGGAACAGACACCAGAGTATATAGGAAACAAAGTTTCAATACTAATTGGAATGCCACGACTTCGACAGCTGAGGATACAGGAAGGTAAATTATTTTAATTACAATAATTTTTTNGGGAGGGGGAGGGGGTTGGTTGGTATTTACAACGTTATATATCTTGCAACTACTAGGAGATAAATTCAGAAGAGACTTACGGTCGTGAGCTACTGAAAGCCATTCCAATTATAAACATTCGTAACCGCAGCAGGATTATCTAATTTTAATGTTCCTGTTTCAATTAGATTCTTGCCGAGTGATGAAAGAGTTTGAGACGATCATTGACAAGTGCTACGATTTCTACTCGATGTCAGAGGAGGATACAACTCGTCTCTATCTCCCACATTGGATTCATTTGTCAGACGCGCAGCAGGATTGGGCCAACCTGTCACAACTCTGTCCCAGACCATGGCGTTATTCGTCACCAGAAGAGCTCAATAACTTGCCTTCGTGGGCACAGCATCATCTATATGACGGTGGTGGGTATGTTCTTGACCTTGGGTATGATAAACCAACTGCTATCCGTATGATGGAAGGCGTCAAAGACAAGGACTGGATTGACAGAAGAGCAAGGGCCGTTTTACTTGAATTCCAAGTTTTGAACTTAAACACTAATTTAATGAGCATTGTAACTTACCATTATGAGGTTCTACCGTTTGGATTTGGGCTTACTTACGAGAAGATTGACACGATAAAACTGTTTAATTTCCAAAATCTATCTTACAGTTTTTATATAACGTGCCAACTGTTGTTTATACTGGTGGTATTGCTGTATGTCGTCATCCTTTTAGTCAGACTATATCGCCAAGGATGTGCATTTTTTAAACGTATTTGGAACTGGATAGATATTGCACAAATTACGAGTGCCTCACTTGCCATTGTGTTCTACATTATAAAGGTAAAATTTATGCATGAGAGTATACAAGAACTTCGAAAGAACCCGTTTGTGACAGTGAGTTTCCAGTTTGCAATTTTCTGGACTGAGGTTGAAAATGCTGCTCTCTCTTTCGCCTTATTTATTGCCACTTGCAAAATTCTTCATTTTGTTCGTCTCAATCCACATGTGCAAATCTTAGCATGGACAATTATTACGGCGAGGCACGACATTTTCTCATTTTGTGCCCTCTTTGGTATACTTTTTGTGGCACATGCCCATTTTGCTTATTTGGCTTTTGGTAGCTCTGTGTTTTCGTTTTCATCCTTTCTTCGCTCGTTCGCTTCTGAGTTTGAAATGTCGCTGGGTAAAACAGTACACTTCGTTGAAACCAATGATGTCAATAGAGTTTTGACCTCACTTTTTGCTGTCAGTTTTATGCTGACGCTTGCAGTTCTTCTTGTCAATATTTTTGTATCTATTATCGATATAAATTTACATGACGTGAAGGAAGACGACGAGAAAGTAAAAGAAGCGTCTATCATGGGAAAGTTTATTGAAAAGTTTTTTTTTGGTTTTAATTGCAAGACTAAAACAGAAAACACCCAGAAATAAATTTGAAATTAAAAAATACATTATTACGAATGCTTACTCGCCACATCATGCTTTAAATTAGTACTGTACGGCGGTAGGTAGCTGAAAAATAATGTGATAATCTGTATTCCAGTTGAACAGTGTTTACATTATTAGAGACGTAATGAGAGACATCTCCTGAAATTAATCTATGTCGTTTAAGTCGTATTAAGAGTCGTTAGGTTAGCGGTTTTCAGCCTATAAATAGTTTCCTTTACGTTACTACTTTAGATGGTTATTGACTGATCAATGCCATTCTGAAGTTTGAGATTTTAATAGTAACTAAATCCCTGCCGGGCAAAAAGCCTTTTGTTACCTTATACTTTGTCAAGACGATATTCTAGTTATAAAAAACTTCGTATAACAGTTTACATGGCATTATCCAAAAGAGTAAAAACCACCTCCACGTTTTATGTAAAATAGGGAGTTTAAGAAAACCACGACGGCGACGGCAACGGGAACGTCGCTAAACAAAAGATTTAATTTGGAGAACAATGGCTTTGCACGTGCGTTATAATTCTTGGCACATTTCTTTACCGTCCTCGGCAAAACAACAACGTGAAATGACCAAATTCTGCGTTGTCTGGAGAACGTGAACCACGAGGACATGATTTTTAAAAATTTTTATTTCAAGTTTATCGCTGTGTCCCAGATTCAGTTTCGTGAAAGTTTTGTCAGTGATAAACAAAGTAAATGACTTTAGGGTATCGCGAGATNTCCTCGGCAAAACAACAACGTGAAATGACCAAATTCTGCGTTGTCTGGAGAACGTGAACCACGACGGCTAATTTTTTTAAATTTTTATTTCGAGTTTATCGCTGTGTCCCAGATTCAGTTTCGTGAAAGTTTTGTCAGTGATAAACAAAGTAAATGACTTTAGGGTATCGCGAGATTCGTCGGTAAAATATAAAGTCATTTTTTAATCGACGCTGTCCTCGCCGTCGCCGTCGTGGTTACTTAAACTCCCTATTAAATAACTCTCTAAAACCCCGTTTCCGTCGTTCGTGACGGTGAAAACGTTCTTGTGTTGTCAAGCTACAAATTCAAAAACATGTCCTGATATGTCCTGGTACTGATATTCACCTTTAACAACACCTTCGCCCAAATTTACATTTTGTTGTAAGACTAATATCGTATTTTTGTTAGGATATATGACTCTGCAAAGAAAATGTTAGTCTTTCATTGAGAGCGACGATAACAGATTTAGAATAAATGTCACTTCTTCCCGAATGAATTTCTTTCTTGACCTTTACTTACTTCTGTGATTCAAAGAGTTTTTCAGATTTTGTTTTCTGAGTGCACGAGTTTTGTTTTTTCTTTCCCTCACCGCATGCAAGAGCTATTCGTGGTTTATATATTAATTATTAATTGCTATTTTTCAAGTTTTATTTCTCCCTACCAGCAGAGGACACGCAGAGGTTATTAAAAATGATGGTGTATTAGCTTTATGTAAATGATAAAGTGAGATAGTGTTTTAAGTTTCGAGAAAATGTCCCCTCTTGACATTCTGTTTCTTAGTCTTTTGTTAGATGAGTTGAAATCATCAACCCCTACCCGGAGATAAATTAAATACAAGTTTTTTATCTGTTCATTATGTCTGCCCACTATTGCTTGTAAAATGTTTTCTCTGAATTTATCATCTTTCTATTTTAGCTTTATTTTCATATATTCATTACATCAATTTACTTTATCGTTTTCAAGTTCTTTAGGTTAGTTGCTATTCGAAGAAAACTGAGACCTGACCGTTTTATCTCTGTATCATATCATGAACCGAAAGGAAAACAAAAGAAATGACGTAAAGATTTTATTGAATTTCATCGGCCTCAAACGGAAAACGCTGAGGTAATTTTAGCCGTAGGTATAGAAAGTATTTTTTCCATCGAAGAGAATTATGAAAACAGTTATTAAAAACCATTAAAGTTGTATAAAATGAAGCTTTATACTAAGTTTTGTCAAAACATAGATGTCCCATGCAGCGACATCGATAATTTAAAGTTAGAGCTAAGCTCTAGACAAAATCATTCGCGTCCAGAACGCCAGTCGCGAACACAGTCACCGACATGCGTGCAGAAATAAAAAAATAATTGGAGGTTACAGTTGTAATATTTTTACGTAATTAATATTTCCACCAGAAGGCGCCATGCACAGTATGAATACCTCAGAAATTCAACGTTTTCAGGAAATTATTTGACATGAGTTTTCATAGAAACGTCACTACTTCGCGCGTCTTGTTTGTATCCTTTGAAAATGGCGCGGAAAGAAAAAATACGCAAAATGTTTATGTCTTGTATTGCAACATGAGCGCCGGCGAGATGCAGGTTCTTAACTGAAACTAATCCTGTCGAAATATTATATCTTATCTTTAATATAGGAGCCGAGGAACTTTGAAATAAATTCTGACATTTTGCTGGTGAAATACTTTTTGGAATACATCCTTTTTCAATGGTAACTTTTCAATTAATCATGACGTTTGCAGATATTTTCCTTAATTTGCAAAGATTATTGAAGGAGGTTGTGTAGTTTTGAAAGGAACACCAATGGAAATCATTCAGTGCAATTTCCTTATAAACAAATGACTTGTCACTTTTTCATTATTTGCCCTGAGTTTGTCACGGAAAATTTATTCGGAGTCAGCAGTGATCAAACGCGGCAAATAGGCTTTCCTTGAGCAGCTGTAAAACCAAGATGTCTCCGCCTGATGGCTTTGTTCATATTTTCCTCCATCTATTTGTGAATTAGGAATTTTCTTTTTATCCCAGTTGTTTGAGAAAGTCTGAAATCCTGCCTCCGACCTCAAATATTTTGACATAAATACGATCTTTTCCGCTTCCTCTGGTAAATATATATAGCTTGATTCTGAATTTTGTTTGCAAATTTGTCCTGTTACATAACAGTTTTACCAACAACATTTTCTTGCTTCAGTAACCGAGCTAAACATACGTTCCAAGAAAATATTTACAACCCACACTAATGCCTATGTATTATAAGTAGCTTGTAAAAATAGCAATGTTTTATTATGGTCACATCGGACTGATTTACACGCTAGCTATCTGTGAAGATTTCATAAACATGATAAACATTTTCAAGCTTAGCTTAACGTTAACGTGACGAATACAAAGAAAGATATAAAGAATGCGACTATATATGTAGTAAACCATATTTTTGATATAGGAAGTACCACGAATTCTGCGACAGAAATATTGATGGGCCGTGACAAAGACATCTTAACACACACCAACTTGTTAAAAAAATAACATACCTTTCAAATTTAAGTTCAAGTTATCTCAACAGTAAATCGTGATCTCGACTTTTTTTCGTCAGTAACGTTTAACAGCGCCAATGTCTCTTGCGGAGCAATGGAGATTTCTCTGTTTCATACGGGGATCTGACAACTCATTTTGTGTGATATTTGCCTGTATCTTCACCGTTTGACGTCAACCCGTCAAATAACAGTTGTTTTTACAAGAGCCTTGTCATGATTAATAATAGAACGTATTTCAATATAAAGGTGTCATAACTTTCTTTAGAGTGCTGCCAAGTAAACAAACCACAAAAGCAATTTTTAACCCTTTAAACTTTATTTGAAATTTGGATTATTTTACGATAAGACTCACTTCAGGGCATTCTCGTTTTAAGGAAAACTTCGAAACCCAAGTGCAGACATGAAAACTAGGTAATCAAAAATATCTGTTTCACGTTTGTCTGGAGGTTTCCCAAAGTGTTAAAAATAACTGATTTAAATGGAAGGAAGTCTTATGGAGAAAATCGAAGAAGACTAACAAGATCTATGATCTCTTGACACAGAGGAAATAACAGAGAACTGATTACAAAAGGAAGTGCATGTTAAAATACCCAAGTAAGGAACAACAGTTACTTGTACAAACAAATGAGATCTTGAACCTCTAGTTCCACATTCGTGTAAAGCACTCCTTACAATTGCCTTTCCGTTCACCAATACATTTTTACATGAGCGAGTTATATTCAGAGATGCATAAGTTCCTCAACCGGTTCTGGTTTGCGTCTTCAAACTCGCTCTCAGGCCCCTTGTTAAGTGATCTTGGATCAAAAATCAAATCAAATCAAAATTTCCCTTAAAAAGCCGAAACCTTTACATGCGCCCACAAATGATCGTTTTACATTTGATGATCGAGAACTGAAATATAGTGAAAATAGCTGGGCTTGGAGAGAAAATATCCAAAACATAATCAGTGTGTGATTAAGCTGATAAGTTGTCATACTACCATATGGATCTCTGACGCAAACTAAGCACAACGAGTTGGCGTGTTTCACGTTGGCTGGTTGACGCGAGCCAATTCGGAAACCCGCACCCCTCACCGACGTCAGGTTCTCATTTACTGGGAACACAATTCAACGCTAACTAAACTTTTTCACAACTTTCCACCCACATCAAAAAATTAAAGGTGGCACATATCCTAAAAAAAACTTAATGAACGAGTTAAATCGAGTAAGCAGTAATTCATTTGGTTCACGTTCACGGTGCTGTCCTGAAAAGAAAAAAACGAAAGTGAAAAAGAAAAATTCCGATTTGTTTTACTGTGGGACGAAATTTACACTTCAATATCGTTCATTCTCTTAAGCTTTCCAGAAAGACGAAAGAAAATTTCAATAACAGAGGTTTGCTTATAGTACTTCAAGACGTCTTTAAATGACAAAAGAAGTGGGCGTTTATTTTTATGATTCGACCTAAAAGAGAACTGTTCTTTGAGGGAGGTGATTATTCAGCGAGAAAAATGATTTGCCATTCAATCCCTAATATTGAATTATTCTTAGAAAATGCCCTTTAAAAGGTGCCATCTTTCTATTTAACAACCATACCGCGAGTCCAAGTAGTTTATGCGGGAACAACCAATCTATCGCTCTAACAAAACGACAACGAATAGACTCTGTAAGGTCTGTGGTTCAGTGTACTTTATAATTTTACGAACTTATTTATAAACAAGAAAAATTTCAGACCAGAAAAGAGAATTTATACTTTGATAATCACGATAAACTGAAACGTTTCTTTCTTTTTTTGTCAGCAGTTTTTCTAAAGGGGATTAGCAACTGCATTTATTTTTTCCGTGTTTCTGCCTGGTTATAGAAACACTCGTGAAAGATCGAGAGAACTCCCCTGTGGCTTGTCATCCCACAACATTTTTTGTTCTCTTAAATTTCCACTTGTGTTCCTACAGTAGGACAGAAACAGGGAAAATGTTTTCTATTGTAATCCTCAATAAGTAAAATTGAGGCCCGTCATGGTTAACATTAGATCTATTGCAACAAAAATGCGTGGCGTTAAAGGAAGAGATAGGTAAATGTACTTTGGAGAGCTGGTATTCTATTTATAAATGTACAGAGATCACTACATGCATA